ATGACACGTTATGAACAACCTGGAATTATTACTATATATTCTTTAATTATTGGTGAACTGGGAATAGGAAAACTAGATTTTTCAGTTAGAAGCAGTTTAATATAAGTCTTTAATATCAGTATCATAATATCATAATGCCATATTTATATACACAAAAATATAAATATGGCAAGCACTTTGGCCTATTTTTTTCGGTGCAGAGTCAGGCATTTTAGCCTTCCCCAGAGTTCGCTAATTTGCCACTGAGTGGAGGACTTGACTGGGGAGTTACCTTTCCGTTGACCAGGTCGGCGCGCATCTTCCCAGCGTAATTTAAACTAAATCGGTTTGCTGGCCGAACTGCGTAGAGCTCCAAAAGATCCCCAGTTGAGGTCTGGCCCAGTGTAATGGCTAACACGGACAGGGAAGCCACACACACACACGCGAATAGAGCGGCTGCGGTGAGAGCCGTTGCATGTGCAAAAGTTGGCCCCGTCTTTCGGCTCCGTCTCCTCGTAATAATCAATTATTTCTGTGTAATTTATGGTAATGTTCAGTCATGATGGATTGACTGCTCTAATGTCGCTCTAAATCTTTGTAGCTCGCTTGCCGGGGTACGCTTGCCAGCCATCCTCCATAGCCATCCCACTGGAGCCTGCCCCAAAAGCCAGCCAAATCCAAAACTAAAACCAAAACCAAACCAGAGCAGTTTGGTTCCAAGGAGAGGAGATCTCGCCAGGCAGGTGCAATTGCTCAGCTTGGAGAGATGTTTCTGCGGCGCACGGGTCTCCCACTAAAGGCTGGCCCGGCTGTCTGCCAAAGAGCCGAACTCCAAACTGCACGGCAGGTCGATGAACAATGGGTGCTACCAGTGAAATATTTTAGGGATTATAAAGTAGAACCTAAATATTATACACTTATTTCTTATTTTTATAACCCCTTACTTCGCTTACTTTCAGCTTCAAAATGCTATCAAAATATTCTTTTAAAAAAGTGCTCACTTTGTGATCTTATTAGGCCCATGGTGCAGCTCGCTTCTCTACTTCCGTCACCTCGCCCCATCTCCAGATGCCTCACCTTCCCGCAGAGGTAATATGTAGCATATGTTTTCGTAAGTTTTTTCTTGTATTTTGTTTAATGGCAGCTTAGATTACACTGGACTCCGATGGGCAGGTGTGTGGGGCATGGGGAAAAACAGATCTTCGCATGTTGGCTGCGGCTTCCAACGGATCGTTGAAATCCCCCCCCTGGAAAAACGATGTCCCCCCTGCGCCCGACAAGCCCATGTAACCGATGTTTAAAATTGCTCTGTGATTTTCGTGGCGAAATTAATGTTAAATAAGCTTTTAGTTTATGTCCCGCCACAGCGTTGATCAATTTCTCAGTCACCTGGTCCTCTTCTTTTTCTAGCTGGTTTCCTACTGCTGCTGCTTCTTTTTCCCCTTCTAAGCCTTGTTTGGTGCATTGGATGATTGGATTTGTGGCTTGTTTATGTGTAAATTATGCTTGTACACATTTTACCAGCAATTGTGTATAAATTATAGACGACTTATTATGTTTGCTGTTTGGCTTTGGTGCGGCTTACATATTAATATAGCACCAAAAGCCGCCTCCTAACATTTGAAATTCAAACGATGGTAAGAGTGTGTAGTGAATGGCTGCAGTACGAGTTGCATTGAAATACAATTGTGTGGCTTACATTTTGTATAAAAAAAGATAGTTGAAGATGTGAATAACGTACCTAAATATAAAAAATATTTCTTTTTATTTTGCGGCCTACATGGCAATAATTTTGTAGGACATCCTTATGGTCAACTCCTCTCCCTGGCTCTTTCCTTAAGTTACGACTTTCATCCATAGCCCTTGGTGAGGGCGGAGTGGAATATGTTTGGCTTTTAAGAGCTGGGCCATTAGTTCCGCTGGCAATTGCTGTGAACTGCATAAAAATGATTTGGCATGCAGTGGCAGAGCGAAAGCACCGAAATCACCGAAATCTCCTTGAGGGCCTGCTTAGTAGGTGGTTTCAAGTCTGCGGAAAGTAAATGGTTAGGGCCTGGGAAAGATCCATAGAAAATGGATCTTTGAGGGTCTGAGGCTTGGACATCCTTAAGCCTGCCGTTGTGTTATGCAAATACCTGGGGCAACATCATCGCCACCAGAATCAGCAGCACCACAGACTGCACCATCAGCACCACCAGCACCACTCTGGGCACCACCCTGTGTGCAGCACAATGGCTACCGTGCGCGTGCAACAGAACACGTACAAAACAGCAGCTGTTTAACATTTATTTGCCTATTTATTAATTTCATGTAACATTTTTTCCTAGGAAAAGTTCCACAATGCGAAATCAAAGCCAAAAGGCAACAAGCTCGACGCATTCTCTTGACGCCAGGCAGTCGCCTTGGGTTTTGCTTTTGGCTTTTGAGTTTTGGATTGGGACTGAGACTGAGACTTGGACTGGGTTTCGGTTCGGGTTCGGGTTCAGTTCCAGGGTCTTCGAATTGTCCAAGCTATCCAGCCGGGCCAACTGTTTTGGCCCAAGACAATAAGCCAAAAGCCTGGGGCCTTCGGGAGGGACTTTTTGCCATACTTCTCCCACTATTTGACTCGGTCTCTGAGCTCCTGCGACTGTTTATGTTGCTGCTGCGACTGTTGCTGCTGCTGCTGCTGCTGCCACAAAAAGTGTCGTGACCCCGGCCAAGGCATTGCATATGGCCAGGATTGTGGGAGGCTTAAAGAGCAGGAGGAGCTTGGTGGAGCTGGAGGGGCAGGGGTAGCCGGAGGGGGTCGGACGGTACAAAAATTACATGTTGTTCCTGTTGAAATGTTTGGTTTTGTGCGCCCAGCATTCCCATTGTCGTCGACGTTTATTTATAAATTTCTTTGCGTTGTTTACCTTTTCAAATACTCTTCATATTCGGGTAACTAAGTTAATACAACATAACAGAGATTTTTTATTTTCTTATGCAGGTGCTTGGTAACAGAGGTTGTATTCCAAGAAGCTGGTGCGTGTGTTTTGGAAACATGTTAAAAGAATTCAGATTTATTTAGAAGCCCACAATTCAATTAATTATTTTTCCATGCGTAATAAAGAGAAAGCAATACATCATTTACAAGATTTTAGAAAGAGTGCATACTTTTATACTTTCCCATAGGTTTTGTGTGACTTGGTCTTTTGCTAATATGACGGCCTAAGGGAAATATGTAACAGTCCCGTGCTGCTCCTGCAGCCTCAGCCAGGAGTCGTCGTCTCCTCGGCGATTGCCGCGCTTACATAAGCATCTCTGGCTAGGACAAAGGAAATGCAAAAATGCCAAAAATCGCACAACTCAAAAAAATCGTATAAAAAATAAAACAGTCGAAGCTGAAATACAGAAAACGCGAACGCGAATTCGAATTCGAGTAACTTGCACACAAAACGATTCTGGCACCCATGAAGAGCAGTAGTGGCCGATGGATTTGGGGAGCATCGGACGGGAGGATCATCGAATCGGCCTGGGCGGGTGGCGATCGTGGCACATTTGCATACAATGAGGCCAGGACTGCGGCACACACCCTCCCCCACCCCCCGTGGCAACTCGCCCCTCGCCCAAGTGCTATATGTTATCTGCGACTGTGACCTACACCAATATTTCTGAGAATGCTGCTGTTGGCCGACGTCGTCGCCTGGAAGTGTGTCGTCGTCCAGTCCCAGGTCTCCATCTGCAGCTTCACTTGTGCACTGTGAGAAATTTATGGAACATGCGTAACACACGTACTTGTTACTTAGGGAACAAACATACTCTATATCGCGTTTTTAAAACTTATGCAGAATCCGAAAGATATATAACCAGGCTAAATGCCTTAAGTTATGTACTGATTATAGTCTCATTATAAATGCTAAAATGTATCCTAGAGGGTAATTTTTCTGAATTAATAGTCCGATTGGGATGGCTCTTTCGCCAAGTGCCTTCTTGCACATCCAGCTAGCCAGTCACATAGCCAGTCAGTATCTCAGACAACCGACAACGGACGACGACGAGGAGTCATTCAATCGCGCCAGCTGCGGCGTCTACATCGTCAGCGTTCCGTTCCGTTCCGTTTAGCTTAGGTTTTTCACTGCTCTCTCGCCTTTTTGTTTGCTTTGTATTTTTCCTCTTTTTTTTTTTTTTGTATTTTTGTTTTTGTTGCTTATTTTGTTGGCCATTCTACTTACAATATTTGTTGGATATCACCAAAAGATCTCGGCAACAGCAGCCGCAGCCGAAAAAAGGAGCCAGCCTCCTCAACGGGCGACTCTCGAGTGGGCCTGTGTGTGAAATCCAACTGTCTGGCGTCTGTTCTGCGTCGTCGCCGAGGTTTCATCGAGGTTTCATGGGTTTCATGGGTTTCATGGGTTTCATCGGCGGTTCGTCGTCACCATGAAGTGGTGCCTCCAGTACGAGTACTTTGAAATTGAAAATGTCTATGAATGCTACCCAAACTTGGAGCATTGATGTGGGGGGAGTGGCTTTCAGGCTTAAATTTTCTATTTTTTCCATTCGTTGGTTTCTGGGCGAAAGCGAATGATTCGAATTTGGCTGGCAGTTCAGAGTGCAAGGCTTTAATGGACCCAGCAACCCAGGAAAATCATGACATTTTCCCATCGCGTTATTATGGTAATCATGTTATGATCAGTGATCTAAACACACATTGCTGAGATATTCGCCTTGTTTGTGATATGTGTGGGGATTTAGGTCAAGTCAGGCTCATTAAAAGCCTAATGGGTTTATATTGGCACTTTAACAAAATCTTCATTTTTCGTATGCGCCTTTTGTCTTCAAAATGCACAAATGCAAATTGCAAAATTTCATTTAAATAAGTCGCAAAATACCTAATCGTTTACGACTTAATCGGAATTTATAGAGCCTAAAAGTTTATTGGCAATAGAAATTGTATAATTGCCCATTAAGCAAACATTCATTTTGTGCAGGTTTTATAGCCCCCTCTTAGATGGCATAATTTATTCGTCCCACTAAAAAGAAACAACTTCTGGAATTTTCTTCAAACGAATATACTTTACAAGTTTGTTTATTCAATAGGCAAAATACGAAAGCACAGTAATAAATAGGTGTATAAATAGGTGTTTAATAAATAAAATAAAATAATATAATTAACCTAGATTTAAATGTAGATGCACATATATGTATCTGCAGAGTTACTTGCACGCGATACAGAAATACAAATAATCGTAAAAAACTTTAAGCACTCGCCATAAAAATGACGCTATTAAAAACGCTACAACTAATAGAGCTCTCTTGGCATGGCCTATATATATTTTCGCTTCTGTTTCTACAGTTTGCGGGCCAATCGCAAAACTAAAAACTAATTTCCAAACGCTACTTTCATAGACTCATACTTATTTTTTATTTGTTTTTTTCAAGATTGCACATACAGAATGGGAATTGGGGATAAAAACAAAAGGGCTATGCGGGAATCGCTTAAATTAGCTGTTATATCGAGAAACGAATGTGTTTTGTGTTTCCTTCGTTAGATAAAAATAATTTAAACGCTAAGATGACAAGTGGCAATTAATTTAAGTGTGATTATCACCTGGCCGCCATGGCAGATATCCCATCTCCGATCCCCGATCCCCGATCCCCGATACCCGATCTCTGATCGCTGGGTATTTCCAAGCCTAGCTGGTCGGTCACTAATTTTTTGGATCTGCAAGATATATGTTTGTATGTGATGAAGGGCGGAGGAGGCATTAGCATAAGCGTGGCATGTGCTTGGCGGAAGCCTATAGCTTATCAATAATTAAGCTGCCTCTTACTAGTTCTCGGCTTTGTTTTGGTGGCCTTAATTACTTAGCGATCGAGTGCCAATTGGCCGCAGTTTTTTTGGAAATCGTGCCAGAAAATTAGAAAAAAAAAGCAATACACACTTAATACTAACCTCTATCCTCAACCGGTTCGCCGGCATCCCCATGGCCCGTGGCCGTTGGTATCGGTATCGAAATGGGTATCGGTGGCACCACCACCACCCCCTGACTTTCCCCCTCCAGAGAGTGCTCCCCACGTCCATGATGAAGTGCTAAGTGCTGGTGTTGCTGGTGGAGATGCGGCTGTTGTCCAAGTAGAAGCTGCTCGTGCTGCTGCTGCTGCTGCTGCTGGAGGGGATTTTGGTGGTTCTGACTCTGGCTCAAGTGCTGCGAAAGATGCTGATGATGGTCACCAGTTGGTGGCCACTGCTGGTACGTGACCGGTACCAAAGGATCCGACATCCATTCAAAACTGAAAGCAGGTCCTATGGTCTGGGTGCTGCCCAAGCCACTTTGATGCGGTGTGGCACTCGTGGGCGTGGGGGGCGTGGTCGTGATGCAGGGACTCAGCTCGTGGGAGGATCCAAAACTATCCAACGAAGCCTTTTGCGCCGATTCCGACCAGGGTGGACTGGGGTTCCATTGCTCTATAAAATCCGCGGGATCCGGAGGCAGTGATTTATTGGGTAATCTCGGCCTCGTCGGCACTATAGTGGCATATATAACTGAAGCATCGCTACTGACCACCGATGAGGTGGCATACGCAGCAGCCGGATGAGTATGGATGGCATAGCAATCCGGTTCCGGAGTTATCGCCGCCGCCGGAGAACGTTCGGTATGTAAGTAAAGTGGCTCTAGCTTGCGCGCCCGCTTCTTGGGCGGTGGGGACGTGGACGATTTGGAGGTAGGCGGATTGGGTGTACTTGTGGCATTCGGAGGATTTACGTGGCTATTCACTTGGCTGTAGTCCACGGGCTCCTGAAAACAAAACAGCGGTTGATCCTCCTTAAGCTCGATGGCTGCCTTCGCATGATAGACTCCACCATATGTTCCCATATGCGGATGATGGTGGTAAGCTGTTGCCGGATGGTGATGATGATGGTGGTGGTGCGGGTGGTGCGAGTGGTGTGGATGATGGTGGGTGCCAAAGCTACTGGCTATGCCCAGATTGGGCGTTGCGCCTCCTGGAGTGGCCGGTGGATGGGTTGAATGGGGACTGTAGTAGCCGCTGGAGGGAGTTCCCGGTGGGACACGGATTCCACTGTCCAGCGGCATGCCGAACTGGATCTTCGACTGGACGGTATAGTAGTGATACAGCCAGGAGTTGGCCAGCATTATTGAGGCCTCTCGATCACTGCAAAAATATAACAAATATAGGTTGTCTTCTAATACACATTTCTAATTATACTTTTACGTTTCAACAGATGTTTTACATTTTAGTTTAATTCGTTTTAAGTTACTTATACTTACTTGAGTACTTGATTTGTGCACACGATAACAGGTTGTTGCGTGGAATCGGGGCTATCTCGCACTTGTAAAACCACGTGTACCCACGTGTATTCTCCGCTGGATCTCTGCATTCGTACTAGAAGAATACAACTGCGATCTTGTTCCGATTGGATAACTGAGAAAGTTAACAAATATATACGTTCAGAATTTGGGTATAATATATAGTAATCGACTTTGTCGTCTTGGAGGTTTTGTGGTTTGACTGGTTTAAAGTAAGATTCATTTAAATACACTTATTGGACTTTCATTGGAAAAATCCATTCCATAGGAAGGTTTTACCGAAGCCTATATCTTATGAATTGCTTTGAATAAATTAAGCTGTATTATGTATTAATTAAATATGTATTTTGCATTAATAGCAACCATATTGCTTTTAAAGTTTTTAATGGCCTATAGGCAGTTTGTTTCACCATTTGCATTAAATTATTTCGAGTAAAATAATATATTTGAGCCTTGTCAAATGAAATGTCGAGTTATTAGCTATAATAGTGTTAATTAGGCACTTACTTAAACTGTGTTTTTTTTGCGCCTCCGTCAGATTATCGCTGTGGATCAGATTGTACCAGGATGTGCCCTGCAGAGCCGACTTTTCATAGCCCAAATGAAACTCGCCACTGAAAGTAATAAAATAACGATAAAAATCAGTTAACTTTAATACTAACTATCAGTTCACATTTATCTCCGCTACTCACTTTTTATCGATATGGGCTATTTTCATGTCCATCGAATGGATGGTGGTGAAGACGTTGGTGGCACCTTGGACAACACACTCCCTGGTTTCGGGCATGGCAATTGGAGTGCAGGTGGCCAAAAAGACGGGCTCGTTGCGACTGCAGAGCGGCAGGAATGACAAATAGTGACCCTGGACCAGGACAACCTGCAAGTACAGAGATGCAACGCGTTTAGCTTTGTTCTGAGATTGCCCCTTGTTTCGTTGCGACATCGGCTCCCACGAAAATTGGCGCCCAACGTGGGGCAGCTGGGTGTACCTACTTTGGCCATTTTTGGACCGGCATGCCGTCGTCTCTCTCATAGACATTTTACTCTGATTCCATAATTTAAAAAAGGCAATCACAGAAATGTTTGTATGCCAACTCCTCCACAGAAAAACCCACCAGGCAGTCTCAGGCTCGTCGACTTGGAGCCATTGTCTCCCAATTAAAACGTGCCTGCATTTATTTCGACCCAACTGCAATTGCATTTTCGAGGCTTATGGGCCGCCGCCGCCGCCGCCGTCGCAGCTTCTTCTGCTTAAATGCAAATGCAGCCAGTCCAACGATCCTGATACCAAAAAAAAAAAACAACCTCCCGATCCCCCAAAAACCCGTCGGATGACGCAGACGCCACAGTCTTTTGCGGGGTTTGCTTTTCTTTCGTTTTTTTTGGGTTTTTGGTAAATGAGACGACCTTAGACTGGGACCAGGCGCCACTGCCGGCGTCGTCTCTTCTCTTTTTCCCTGGCTTTTGTTTTTTTATATTTCGATTTTTTTGTTTTTGGGCCTTTTGTCTATGGGGTATGGCCGTCTGGCACACTGGTTACTAGCTCTGAACTATGCCTGACCTCATTCATAATTATTTATTGGTCCATTTTTATTGCATATTAACGAGTGCCGGCCTGGGAGTGAATGTGCTTGCATTTTCCGCGGCTCTGGGCTCGACTTTGCGGGTTATCGCCAGTTCAGTTCATGTGGGTCTTAAGTGTCGAGTATGCTTAGGATTAGATTAGGTACTTATGTATGTTCTGTGCAAGGCTGGGAATGGATTGCTCATTCAAAACACTCAGGTCTCTTGACATACAAGTATTCTGGTCTTTGATATTCTTAAATGGTTTGCAGTCGCAGTGATCGCTGTCTTTTGCCTCCATAAGTTTTAGTTTTCTACTTAAGTTCCCAGGTGCTGGTTATACCATTAAACAGGACGATATAGAGCATACAGTAGTATTCTCCACTTTTTGTATAATTTTGTAACTTCTAAACTTTCTTCCTTGTTGTGAATTGCATTTCCTGAGCCAACAAAAAAAAAAAAAAGCCTGCGAAAATCTCACAGCCAGCACTTCCTGCACCTCATTAAACTGCCAACACTAAACTTAATTAAAAACGTTTTCAGCCGACTGTCAACGCCTGAGCTTATCTCCATAATTTTGCTCACTGCACATCTGCGAGAAGCGAGGAAAAAAATGGACGCGGCCCGGATCGGCAGAGATATGAATAAAAGTGAAGCGACCGCCCACCACATGGTGCACAGTAGCAGCTCCAACAGAGCCAACATCCATGACCAAAACGGGTAAGAGTTGCTGCCACAGCCAACGCTTCGCTCAACACGTTGACAGATTTGGTCTTGTCTTGTTCAACCTGCGGCTGAGATGGCTGGGAAGACAACTTCATATGGCCGCCTCGTTTTATTCACATCATCATCATCATCGTCGCGCAGGGAGGCGGCCAATCAGAGCAGCCAAGAAACCAGGTGGGATGGGGTCTGCAGCACCAGTGCCAGCAATGCCACCAGCACCCACCCACCCGTTTCCCATCAACTGTCATCGTTTGTCAGCTTATAGAAAACCCGGCTCGTTGGCAAGATGTATGACCAGTTGGCCGCCGGCTCAAACGCATGGTACGAGTTCTGCTCCAAACTCGCAGCTCGCAGCTCGCAACTCCATCTCCATCTCCATTTCCCTGCCCTCATGCATAATTCATGCCAGAGCAAGATGTCGATGTTGAGCGGCGGATTGGAGCGGAGGAGCCTGCAGTGTGGTAAAGTGTTACACGCAACACGCTTCCCAGGTGATTCATTCATCAATTTCTGTCAGAGACTTACACGCGCTTACTCATCCACGCAAGAATGCACGGAGAAAAACTCGGAAGCTCCTCGCTAGTTCCAAATTCACAATTGAAAAAGGGATATTAAATAAAGAAAACAGGGGTAGAGAGACAGAACCCATTTTCTCCATATTGTAAAAGGAAATATAATAATAGCAGCAGTTCAATATATAATAATTATGTGGGATTTTTATTTTTCAGTGCATTGACACTCACCTTCTGATCGCCGAAACGCATTTGCCGTCGCGCGTTGCGGCTAACATTCATGCGACAGAGGAACATGCGATGCTCGCCCTCGAGACTGGAGGCGCCACCAGCACCACCGGCACCAGCGGCACTTCCATTGCTGGACGTTGAGTCGCCGGCACCGCCAGCACCACCAGCACCACCAGCACCACCGGCACCACCGCTGCTCGCCTGACTCGAGCCACCCGGCTGCGGTGGCACGTTCCTATTCAGCTCGGCCTGGATGTTTGCGTGATCCTGTTTGTCAATGATATCGTAAACGGAGTCACCGTGTATCAGCAGATCCTCCTGTAACGAGAACGGCAAAGGGGACATGGTTAACACGGGTTTACACTGGTCTGAAAATAACAGCGACTGGTACTTGACCAAGATTCCACCATGACAAGGGTAATTATTTAAGTGATTCGTTCAACTCAAATTAAAAACTAATAATAAATAGGACGCTCTGTATTGAATATAATCCGTTTTCATACGTTCGAACTCAGTTTCAATTAGTCAGCCTATTGTTGTAATTTGTTAATGATGTGTCAGAAGGAATTGGCATGCTCATCGCCGTTTTGGCCAGTTGCCTGCTGGCCGTTTTTGTCATGAGCTTTTATTATTGTTGACAATTATGGCCACAGCGAAGGAGAGAGCGATCGAGCGATCGACCAATTTATAATGGCAAGATGTGGCCGATGTGGTTGTAATTTATTTATGGCCACTGTCGCTACATGACACATGACAATGGCAACTTGTTATGGGAATATGCAAAAATCGAATTCAAATTATGATGCCCAACAACAGCAGAAACATCGGCAATGCTAAAAGCAACTGCAGCAGCGGCAGCAGCAGCAGGAGCAGCAACAACAGCCACAATGTTGCCAAGATCTATTGACATTTTTGGCAGTTTGTTAATTAACTTGGCTGTTGGTAGTTGTTGCTGCCGCTGCCGCTGCCGTTTCTCAGTTTTTGCCGCCACTAACTAACTCGGAGCCTTGCCACAAATTAAAAGGTTGGGCAAGCCACTTTTGGGCCTGTCCATGTGCACACCAATTCCGTTTTTATTGTGCCCGTAATTATGCCAACACATGGCATACGAGTGAATTTATGAACTTCACTGACCATTTAGTTGCTGCCGGTGGGTGTCTCCTAGTTCTCCACTCCCTCAACTCCTCCGAACTCCTGATAAGGCTCGGCACAAAGGCCAAAAGGCTGTCAAATGTCATGGTTGCCAATTGGCTTAGTTGTGTTGTTTTCCTGCAATTCTTTTTTGCTTTTCTTTTTTTTTTTTCGTTCTGCTGTCTTGCCGTTGGCTTGTTCTTGTCTACATTTTGACTGGCGGAGTGGGGGAAGTGCAACATTTAGTTGATATGAAAGGTTGCCTGGCCGAGAAAAACAAGTGGAGCGTTTCCTTTTGATATGAAGCTGATCAAGTTTTTTTTCTGCCCCGAACATATCCCAATTCTGGGATCACAGGCCAGGCTCTGATTTATGGCAGATTTTGGTGGGGCACAGACATTGCACATACGCCCCGTTGCACTGGCACTCGACGACTTCGACTTCGACTCCAACTCCGACTTCGAAGAGCCGACAATCACCTGGTCGCCTAATCTCTGGTACCTTTGTCAATGTCGGTTCGGTTATGTGTAGAACGGAGATATGTCACATGTGCCCCGGTCGACTAGATTTATTTAAACCGTCGGTTCAAATGCAAAGTGAAAGGCCAAGTAAATAGAGTCGCATGTACATAGATATGCGAGTATATATATATATATGCATGCACATGTATAACCTTGCTATTTAAGCGGCATAAACGTGCAATAAACAAAGCTTGGAACACGGGCAACACGGCCAACATCGAGCTGTGGCTGTTTTAAGGAACCAACAGACTTATATAAGCTCAATGAATCGGGTCTCTTTAGGTCTTTAGACAGTTGCTAACTTGTCAACGGGAGCAGCAACAACATCAGCAACTAGTACAGCACAAAAACGGCAACAAATATGTTTGCTGTTGCCGCTGCTGCACTTATGTTGCTGCTGCTGCGCTTATGTTGCTGCTGCTGCTGCTGCTGCTGTTAGGAGACTATGACATGCTCTGACGACGACAGGCATCGTCGTTTGCCTGTTGTCGCTTGTCAGAGATTTGTATCAACGATTGTAACAATTTCGGCCCCCGAAACAGAAAACCAGCCCAAAACAATCCGCAACTTTCGCAAAGTCTTACCATGGAATGGCCCAAGTACTCCGCTGCATTATCCGATATATAAAGCAATTTGCCATTTTGTGTGAGCATCATCAAAAAGCCGGAGAGTGCCTGTAAGACAAATACGTGTGTGAATACAGGGTGATTGGTAGTAAATTAAAGTGTTCTTAATCGAAAGCAATCTATATTAAGTTATGATATAACAAGGATGCCAACAACCTACTTGAAAATGCACTTATTTAAACACCATATTGTGGTGCAAGCTACCGCTTTTCTAACACCCCCTATTTGAAAAAGCATAAATTGAATCTTGTGTCGGAAATGCAAATTCATTTTCGCGTCTGAGCACTAATAAATTGTTAGCCCAAAAGCCTGGCCTAAACCCACGTTGACAACCGCAGCAAAGCTCCCGATGAGAGCCGAAAAGGGGAGTATGAGTAGTACTCCTACTGTGGTTATAGTATTTAATTCAGTCACGAGTGTGCACAGGTATGTAGATCAATCTCGACCGACTGGAGCAGTCAGTGCCAGGCAGCTTGACTGACTACTGTCTTCTGTCTTCTGTTTTATTTTTATTTTTTTGGTTTGGTTTTGGTTTTTTTTGTTGGGTTTTGCCTGGTGGCTGCTCCTGTAAAACTGTGGCTTTTTCCGGGCATTTATTGTTTGGCCCGCTGGCTTTTGGCTGATTTCCTCTTCTCGCGCAGCAAGTGGCGGCGAGCAAAACGATTTCTGACTTATGATATGGCCAGCTTTTGTGCCATTAATAGAGTTGTTTTCCCGGGAACTTTCGGTTGAGTTGTCACCGCATTGGCTTAAATTGAGTTGTTTCTCTCGGTTCCCTGGGAGCCTAATCGAAATGTCATCGGGATTGAAAATTGCCGAGTCTATATGGTAAATGAACGCAGATCGCGCTGATCGGTTTCCTAATTACGCTCTGATTGAATATGAATTGTGTGGAATATTTCCTAGGAAGTGAGCTACTCGCAAAGCAGTGAATTTAACACAGAAAACTTTACTAAATGCAATTATTATATTCATTCTTACCTTTGAGAAGCCAATATTTGGTGTTGCTGTCTGATGATGAAGATGATGCATCGCATTGTGGCGTTTGAAAACTGCAACGAGAGGGGCAGAGAAAACGGATACATGAAAATAATGCTAATTAAGTTAATTGACCTTTTGTGTCTTGTGCAGGCGCGCCCTGCCGATCAAGACATCCGTATGGAGTACGGGTGAAAAATATTCACTAAGTGGATATGAGTATTTTCCCATGGCGGTAATTTGTATGCAAAAGCCTGGCTAATTAAAAAACTATCTGTTAATAATAGACTCGATACCTCTCTAACTTGTGACGGCGATTGTTAGATGCATTTGATTGTTAATTCATTGATTATATTCTACATACAATGAGCAACGATGTTTGCCGCCTAACAAAAACAAGTGAATCACAAAAAGGAAAATGTGTCATTGTCACTAAGAGCGAATAGCAACAGCAACAACAACAACAGAAGCAGCAGCGGCAGCAGCAACTTCAACGATAGTGGCAACAGCAACATCAGGCTGCGATCGCCGAGTGCAATTGCTGTTTTGCAGCTGCACTGCAGCATCAAGATCAATTATTTTTAAAACACTACGAGATACTCCCGCACCTGGCAAACAAAACAAAAACCGAAGAGAAACAGCCACAAAATCAGCATCAGGCTACAATCACCACGGCAACAGCAGCAGCAGCAGCCGCACCAACAACTGCAGCAGCAGCGGCAGCAGCAGCAGCAGCAACTGCAACAGCAGCAACCGCAACTGGTAATTTCATTGAACTTGAACGGAAAGGCCATGAATGCAGTCAGATTTTCGCTGGGCCTTAATATTATCCACTATCCGGGCAAAATACTCAGAAATCCGTTTTGCCAAGAAGTCTGTCGTCAGCGTACCTGAATCAGCCAAAATAAAAATAAAAGGGGAGTGGCAGCCAGCTCAATGATTTTCCACTTTGCTACAATATACAAGGGCAAGGGAATGTAGCTTTATTGTAAGCGATATTTACCTTGCTGAACAGAACTCAATGTAAGGTCATAAGGAAAAGAGGCCAGCAAAGTGGCTTGAACATATTTGGGACATATTAATATATACTTATATTGCACTACAACTGAAACCTATTTTTAGTAAGTGACCACTTCACAGCTTTATGGCTTTTTTGCGGGATTTGTTAGCAAACACGACACTACTAAATGCTAGCCAATTATACGGTCTTCCATCTGAGATCGAAGCCGCCGGGCTCAAGATCTTGCATACAAACGAAGAACGGAAAGAATCTCATTGTATTGAAAACTCAATTTCGTTTTATAAATATGTATTTCATTAATCGCGCCTATCTCAGCAGCCACACCCACCCACATATCTACACAGCTCAGACGGAGAGCAAACGAATCCATTGAACTTGGCGATGCAAAGATACACAGATACAAAGCGATTTCGATGGCGTGCCAATATTAACACAATTTGTGATTATAAATGCTTTTAAACGGTGCAATGACAATGAACAACAACAGCAGCGAAAGCACACCCAAATAACCCAAAGATACGAGATCCACAGAACGCCGACTATTTCTCACACTTACGGGAATGTGGAGATGCGGAGGAGTGCGATGGATGGGGTTGGAAAAGAAAAGAGCAGTACTTAAGTTTAATTTTTTGCAATTTGTAGAACACATAAATCGCACATTTTGATTTATCGCAATATTTATAGCAATGCCAGGCAGAGAGGCTCGTTGTTACCATTGCAATTGTGAAATTGCCTGGCTCGACTTGCAGTTTGCAGTTGGAGGAGTTCGTCGATGAGATAGTATAGTGCAGTTTAGTGTGGTACCAGGATGCTGGTATGCCACGGATCTGCAACAGTTTCACATGGGTTTCCTCCAACTTTTCGCTCCGTTTCGTTTCTGTCTGCGCACTCAGATGCGAGCCGAGAGTTAAGAGTTCCCCAGTCTGGTGTGTTATCTATGGGCCTATGTACCGCACAACGCTAATTTGAAAAACAATTTTCGTAATTATCCACAAAAAAACAAAACAAAAAACCAAAAAAAAACAGAAACAAAACCAAAATGAAAAAATAGCAGCGCAAATAGCTAAGTAAAGAGCGAACGATCTTGTTCGGTTGCGCTTGCGTTGACCTGCGCGCATGCGCATTAAAGGAGGATGGGACCTCTGGGGACCGATCGAAATGGGTCCGTAGGCTCCGGGGATCGGAGGATTGGGGGATCGGGGGATCAGCGGATCCAAGGGGCCCCCGAGCAATTTTGGCCCGCCTGGAACTGGGTGCGTGCCTAGACGGTGCGGCAATTACTTGGCCAAAAACAATTTCAGCCGGGCATTTGGGGGCATGATAGAGGGACACTCGACATATGAATGATGTTGGTTAAACCGAAGCGCAGCCATGCGCCTAGCGGTTTTTCATTCCGACTTAAATGAAAGTCGGCGGTGCACTGCACCAAAACGGTGGTGACATCTCAAATGAATTCCAAATGGATTGCGGATTAACGTGGTACCCTTGATTAATATCTCTAGTCTAACAGTCCAAACAGTGTTTAAATAACGTTTACATTTTATTTGTGCAAATCGAAATCATATGAAAGAGTGTAAGAGATACGTGCTAATGTGCTAATCAATTACTACCCGATCCCGAAATTTCAGGCAGTTACTTTGTAGACACACGGAACACACAGAGCCCACAAGATATTTTCGCCAAGTGCATTTTGGCACATTTTGGGCAATTGCAGTTTTGCAGTTTTGAAGTGCAACGGCGGTGGGTCCTGCACTCGGCAGTCTCAATCTTCGCGGCTGCGCCAAGTCACAATCACAGCCGCAATCTCCATCTGCTCATGACTCATGCATATTCAATCAGCGTGCAGCCAATTATCAGCATGCATATATGCATTTTTTGTATGGTTTTTGGATGCGGGGAGGCAATGGCTGCAACTTACCTTGCTGGAAGTAGTTGGCTTTCCGCACATAGACACAAACGAGGGCCATCAGTTGCAGTTGCGAGAGGCGCTGGCGCGTCGATTGGGGCAGCGGCAGGAGATCCCTCAGATTGGCTATCTCCGCATTTATGAGATCGCGTCGCATCTTCGAGGCGCCCTTCGTCGATTTGTTTGCATCGAATCTGCAATGGTTAAGTGGAAATGGATATGGTTAAGCAATTAGAATATATGGGCTCGTTCACAGCTATGGCTTAATAAGTGTGCAGAGTGGACACACCGAATGGGGCACAACTAGCCACCACTGGGGGCATGTGTTTTCACAGCCCAACACTCGGGCGTGTTTCCATGCCAAGTGTGTCTCCGTATCGCTCTTGGGCTTATTAACCCATTGCGCAGTGGTTATGGCCATTTGGGAATTCCAACATTATTCGCATTTTATTGCCTAGCACGAAGTGGCAGGCAACACTTGCTACCAACATAAATAAGCTAGCTAACATTTTATCTATAATATTTTTTATTATACGGAACTTGATTAGGTGTCTTAGAAAACGTGGATAGTAAAAATGTAATTAGGAGATTAGAAATATAATCGGTTAAGGCAGAGCGTTTCAAATGTTACGGAATTTAAATACATTAAGCTGAATTTCATTCTGCCCAAAGTTTACCATATTAATCGTCATAAGATCACAACATCTTACGCAATTTCAATCCCAATCCCAATCAGTACTTATTCAGTCAAGACCACTTTATTTGCCTTTCGATCCGCTGACCACAATGGGTTAAGGATGGCTCGCACATACCGCCGCGCGATGCCCGGCGCATAAATAACTCATCGCGCATTTAAAAATCATACGAGCAGCGGTATGTGGCTGTGGTTCAGCGGTGCACCGCGGTGGTTTGGCTGCAGCGATGGTGGTGCAGTGGTTGGCTGGCTGGCTGGCCGGTGGTTGATGTGGGGCACACTTGCCACATGCCTTGTGCGGAAAAATTGTGCAAGTAGGTTGGTCAGCACAATTGTTGTTGCTGCTTTTGGGCACAAGCGGCAAAAGCGTTTAGCAGAAACTGAGAAACAGAAACTGTCCGTGTGTACTTTTGTGAGCATATTATTTACAAGGTTGAAATCATAAATCATAAATTTGTCTTTTTATGCAGTCGGCGTCGGCGGCTGCGGCTGCGGCGCATGCGGCGTATGAGTATTTTTTATTTATGCTGACGTTTTCTTTGCCGGCCCATTGTTGCTGTTGTTGTTGGCGATTATTTTGCAAGCCTTTTTTATGATAAATATTGGTAATATTGTTGTAATAACAGCAAGTGCCCGCGCCTTATTCGCTTTCCTCGCTCGACTGTCTGCCATTTTGCCGCTGTTATTGCCTCTAAATGGCCATGTTAACATTTAAAACAATCTCACTGCGTCCGTGTGACTGTGAGTTGCATGCAACCGCCGCTTCAGAGGCATGCAATAAAACAAACCGACAAAGCAAAAATAAAAATAAAAAGATCTCAAAAAGAAACAGAAACAGAAACAGAATCCGAGACCAAATCGAACGCTTCGTTCGCCTTCTGGCTTTGAAATATATTCATGCTTCAGGCCTATTCACTCTTGACCACTCGCAATCGGAGTAGACCATAATAGAACAGTTTTAGCCAGGGCCCAGAATCGAAATTGAGTGGTCGAGTGGCTCGCACTCACTCACCGGCCAACTGGCGCGCATTTAAGTCAAGGTGATTTGTACAATTAAAATGAATATTGATTTAAATGCTGCGATTGCGAGTCGCTCACTTGTGCTCCAACTGACATATATGTTTTGGCCTTTTAACTGGGCGGTCAGATTGTGTGGGCTGCGGTGAAGGGTCAACCAGAGAATGAACTGTCTAAAAAATTCCAAAACTCTATTTCTTTGAGCAAATAGCATTCGTTTATAATAAATCTAGATAAGTATAGTCCGTGTGATTAATTGCCAAACTTAATATGTCAACGTTTATACCAAGAGTTTATATTATACCATAAAACATATAACAAGTCTACCATTTTTTTTCTGCTGCTGTTTTCTTGACCCCTGTTGATTGGTATCTGGTGAAGACCAACTTTGGTCATTTCGCCCCGGCTAACCCACACAGATCCTCCCACACATCCAGTTGGTAAGGTTCCTCTCCCAATTAGCTACTTAAAAATGTCAAAGGCTTCTGCGATCTGCTATCTGGCTGGCTATTTGTGGCATAATTAATAAGTTTCTCAAATATTTATCATAAACAAGATGCCAGTGGTGCAGGCGATAGTATGATAATGCCATCAGCCTTTCGTAATGCATGGCCGAAACGCCAAAAAAAAAAATGTAATGTGAGGAAAATAAAAATCCAAAAAACGTGTTAATGGCCAGGGAGAGATATATCAGATATATAAAGCTGTTGCGGGTGGACGATGGTGGATGGAGGTTGGAGGTTGGAGGATGGGGAGCCCAACTGCCGGCTGTAATCTACATCAAAATTTATCTGAGTGAGCGAGACATGTCAACATTTCTTAATATATCTATCGCTACCTTGAAATCTGCACTAAGTAGCACCAACTTGTTGGCCGTTCGCCGTTGTGGCAACTACTGTACAAGTTGTTGTTGCTAATTAAAAGCATAAACACGATTCTTAGCGAGGCGTTGTGGGATCATCCAGTGGCCACTGTGCTGGTGGCTCTCATCGGTGGATCTCGGTGGCTGAAACCTGGAGCCACATGCTTAATCTGCCACTGGGGATCCTTTGGCGCAGTGGAAAAGATCTTAATCAAGTCTGGTCCAGCCTGAATTCAGGTCCTCAGCCCTCTCTGACTAGATAAAAATACATTGGACTGGCGACGGAAAACTTAACGTGCTCCACAGAAATTAGGCACAAATCTTGTTGGCTCAGATTCTTCCGATTCCGATTCCGATTCCAGTGATCTCAATGCCAATCGCCATCCCTCACTAATTAGCACATAAACCGACCGGGTAACATAATGCCAAACTATTAACTTAAATGGATTTTAAATGCGCATCTATGGGGCTGGCACAGATCCTTCCCTTTCGACGGATTTTTATGGACGGTCCGGGCCCACAGAGCGCCATCGTAAAAATGTGGGCAGCGAATAAATCACAAGACCACTGAACTTCTCAACCCACCCCAAGCTGAACTCCACCCGCTAGGGCTGCACAGAGAGAAAAGAGTGCAAGTTTGCTTTCCAAATGAATTAAAAGGTAATAATTTCAAGTTCATATTAAATTTTAGTAACATATATATCGACATTTAAGTACATCGTAAGAAAGCTTATTTTACAAACTGGATTGCAGAACGAGTTAAAGTGATAATAAACTGACTATTAAGAGATAAAAGCATCATAAAAGATCGATCTAAAATCATGCCTAGTTTTTTCCACGTGCACGTATCAATCCAAAGTCGAGTTTTAATATGCATCAGGGGCGTCAGTCGGGTTGGAGGATTCCAAATCCGATCCCGATCCCGATCCCGGCGCAGTCCACTCGCCAGACCATCGAGTCCCAGAGCCAACCAGTCAGTCAGTCAATACCAATTGCAGGCCAAGAGAAACACGAAATTTGCGCAAATTTTTATTGCACTTTTCCCGGAGCGTCTTGTCTTCTCCTCCGCTGACTTGACTTGTGCGAATTGTCTGGTCGCAGACTAGATAACTCCCTATGAAAACCTCCCCCCTTTTTCCCCCGCTTTCTAGCGCTGTGTGTGTGTGTGTGTGTGTGTGTAATTTGGGCGAGTTTATTTGCCATATTCCCACGATATAGTTCGGCCAGGCTATTGAGCTTGCGGGCAGCTCTAATGATTTCTGGCCGCTCCGCTCCGTCCCGCCCTTTCGCCATTCTGTCCAGATCTCTGGACGCGCACAACTAAAAAAAATAGTGCAAAACGGCGTATAATGAATGCCAGACCTCTCAAACTGATGGGCAGTTCGCCGGGCAGCTCCAAAGCTGGAGCTTCGGGTAACCCTAAACCCCAAACTGAACCCACACCGCGTTATTTTTTTGTTTTTTGGTTGTTGTATTCGGGATCCAGGCAAATTAATTGCCCAGGCGCCGCACAATGATTTCCATTTGGGTTCGCTCTCGAGGATTTCTTGGAATTTTTTGTTCAGTCAGATGCAAACACTTGTTTTGTCTGCAGAGCTTTGCGGGTGCCTCATTGTGTTCTGCGTAAGTCGGTGGCAGTAATCGATACCTTTTGCCAAACGCACACCTACAGATTAGCATCGGGGCGACGTTTAGCACAGAAAAAAGAGCTGGACAAAAAGGCAGCCATCTAATAACCATGGGTAGCTCGGCGGCCTTTGGCCAAATTATATGGCCAGGCCATAGGTAAAAGTGGCCCCGGGTGAGCATAAAGTGTTATACGGCCTGCACTCGGGTTTTACGAGTATGTTTATAAAATGGTTTCAAAATTGCGCCGTAAAGCTTGTCAAAGGTGATGCAATTCAAAATTGTAATACTGCCAGATGGGAGCTAGATAAAAGTATAAATAAAACGTGATGGGAAGCCAAGAAAATGTAATTTCAAAATTCACTTCACTTCCCATTAAGCCAGTTTGCTTTAAGGATGAAGCACAGAAAGATATATCCTTCAATTATCTCAATCAATTAGCTTACTTACGAGCTTGTGTGTCCGTAAATCGCGGCCATATAATTTAGTGCTCTCAAAAGCTCATAAAGAAGTCTGGCGGGCAGCTACTGTGTTTATTTTGACGCATATATTTCAAAAATGCGAGCCACACCACCGCCGAGCACCGAGCCACGCCACACCACTATCTGCCCCACAATGCGGCACCAGTCCCGCAGCAAACCACACCGAATATAAACCACAGAGCGACCGCAGCTGAGATTTCAATGCCTGAAAAGAAATGAAATCAAGCTGCTACCGTCTGCCGTTCGATGCTGATGCTGATGCTCGATGCTCTTGTATGTTTGATTGGAATCTTAGCCACAATTTAATGATGGACTGCCAAAAGCACACTTCGATGATTGGCTCTTGGACATCGTCATTTGCGGGAGCTGCGAGTTGAGAGTTGCGAATCTCCTCCGACGCCGCCGCATAATTTTTCATATTTTTATGATTTGTTGCTACCGGGTACTAAACCCGTTTCTTTTTGCTGATTTTCTTCTTTAGGTTTTTTTTAGTCTGAGCCTAACCATGGAGAGCGGCTACCGTTGCTGCATTTGCTTTCGATTATCTTAATTTGCGTGCGAAACTGAGTTTTTTCTTCCTCCGCCCGTAAGCCAAGCCCCAAATTGTGTGTGTACGGAAATTTTCCCATGACTTGGTTCTTGGATCGATCGCTGGCACTCTGTATACTTTGTGCCCGGCGGTGGCTTGGCCAGAAATTACCCCAACTATGGTATGGTCTCTGATCTGGTCTGGTCTGGTCTGGTAAGGCATGGTATGGAATGGTATGGAATGGTATGGAATGGCTCATCGGCTTGGAACTCTCGGGATTGATGGTTGATGGTTTGCTGCCGTTGCACTTTACCGCCAGGCAATTAGCACAGGGATGCCGCAACTAAATAATTTGGTAAGCCCCAGGGCAGCTCCATGGATCTTGGCCTGAACCCGCGGCAAAGGTGGCGCACTTATTTGCTCAGCGTTCGTACGGCTTTGGATTCAAATCCGACAGATAATGCCTGGTCATTGGTGTGCATACCGAAATCGATTTTGACTCGCGTCACCAAATATTGATCTAAACAATTTGACGATAACGGAAGTCGGGCACTGCGAGAAAACCAATTTGGGGAGACTCGCTTGGAAATACACAAATATTATTAGTTAAGATGATACCAGTAAGTTGAACCAGTAAGTTGGCAGTATTCAAATATTCAGCGATTTCCAAACGTATGACTTACATGCTACTGACCAGTTTCAAAGAATCTTTTGCAGTGCAGTCCATACTGAGATCTAGTGCAGCATTTACTGCACCGACAGCCGAGTTGGGCAAATAGCTCCGTTCGCTCGGCTGATCGCTTTTCTCGTGAAATGTGTTAATGAAATTAGCAGCATAAAATTGCTACCAGAGCTAGACCCCGTGCAGTGTGTTACAGATACCCGAACGAAATTGTATCTTAGCCAAATGTCCGCGGCATGCTAATTACCAAAATTAACACCAACGGCGCAGGCCCGAAAGCAAATACGAGCTCAAACTCAAACAGAATCCGTACGCAACGGTTTCGGTTAGTTTCACTCAGGAAGCATCCGGCAAATGCACTTCACAAATGTATCTTTGGCTTTGACTGTGAATCTGAACTTTTCCTCGGCTTCCTTTACCTTTTCTTCGATTTGTAGATTTTTTTTTGTAGTTTAGTTTTTGTGCTGGCTTGAGTGGAGCCAGGTTTGTTGACTCTACGGCTGGATGTGTTAAAAACAACAAACGCCGGGTTTTCTTCGTTTTAATTAGTGCCATTTATTATTTAGAGCATATTGATATAGTTTTCGTTGTTTAACGGTTGTTTGTTTCAGTGCGAGGCGTGTTGTTGGCATTTCTCGTTCGAGCATGGAAAATATTTATAGAAATCCGCCCGATTTTACTACTCCCAAACCACAGATTTTACAAACTGTGCCTGTGAATGTGAAGAAGCGCGTGCTGCGGCGTGCGAACAATGAACTTTTTTTGGATTGAAAAAAGTTTGAAGCTCAGTTTTCGATGGCTGGGAATTCCAACAATCCATGTGCTAATTAATAGTTCCATGGGTCACGTAAAATTCAGATGAATGAACTGATTTAAGCCAGTATTGAAGTGCAGCAATTTGTTATTTAGAGAAATCACATTCATGTGGCATGTGGCCAATACCACAACATTTTCCCTAATTAGTTGGTCCTTAAAAAAGGCTTCAAAATAATTATTCAACTGGCCTGGCCTGTTTAATGGTCCATCCGAGCTGCTACTACAAAATGCTCTAATTTCAATGGGGGTACCGCATCCGGCACAGTCTGCAAAATGACACCCACCCAAAGGATGAAAAAAAATGGATGAGCAGGGCAACACCTACCAAGAATCTCCCACACAAAGGCAGGATATTTCCCAAGTAAAACCGAACAAAAAGGGGAAAAAAGGGGAAATCGCAACAGACAAAGAACGAGCCATCAACAACATCACACGTGAGTTTTACACATTTTCAGAAGCAACGGCAGCCAGGAGATGTGGCTAACTTTAGTGGCATCTTCCCGACTTTGTCGTCGATTCCATGGGATTCTGTGCTTCCTCCTGGTGTGGAGACGCCTTTTTTTTGGTGCCCCATCGTCGTCGTCTTCGTGGACGTCCGATTGCCAACGTGGTAATGTCAATCGCACTGTGCGGGTTTAACTTATGGCAAAACATTTGAAGCACTAATTAATTGGAGCTAAATAAAATGGCACAGCATCTCCAGCTCAGCTCAGTTTAGCTGGCAGTGAATTTTGCGCGTTTTTCGACTCTTCGCGAATTGGCGCTGTGGGTACGGGTACGGGTACGCAGAGCGACCGGAGAGATTACGAGGACCAGATAACTGCGAACTACAAGTTGCCAATACAAGAGGCCATTAAAAGCGGCAGCAGGAGCAGCAGCATCAGTACACCGAGAAAAAGGCATTCTTCTACAAATGGTTGCCAATTAAGTCAAAGTCTAATAGCATTGAATCTTTTTGGAGGCAATCCTTTATCCCATTTATAAAACTAACGATTAGGTAGCCTTCTATTAATCTATTGATTCTAACTACTTTTAGTAGTACAATTTCAATAAATAATAATTACTATTTAAATAAGCACCCTCAATAGCTAAAACACTCTGTGAATATACATTTTATGTAAAGGTTTAAAGCTAATAACATATTGCCATAACCTAGTAAAAATCCACTAACTGCCGCAAAAGAAAGCTCAATTTCTTGCTGTGCATTTGCAGAGGAAGAACTAACCAGAAACAAAAGCAGTGAAAATCCAGCAGGAAAACAGCGACGAAGAAATGGAAAGGAGTCTGGATCTTGGCCCAGGGAGCAAATGGGCTGAAAGGAGGTTGTCGCTGTCGCCAAATGCGAACTTGGCCCCGTATTTCAAATTCGAATTGACAAATATCGAAGCGTGCGAAACAAATTGAAATTAAAAGTTTGCATGTTTGCGCTGTTTGTGATGCGTGGCTGTGTGAAAACGGAGATAAGACTGAATGTTGGCGCTAAGAACTTACCTTGTAAACATGCCGGCTGTCTGTTGCTGCTGCTGTTGCTGTTGCTGCTGCTGCTGCGTTGCATGTTGCTGCTGTGTCGTCTGCGACTGCTGCTGCTGTTGCATGTGCTGCTGCTGCGACAGTGTTGCTGGCGTTTCATGCTGCTGGAAGTTATGATGCGTATGCATCTGGTGCTGCAAGTGATGCTGCTGCTGAAGGTGTTGCTGCTGTTGCTGCTGCAGTTGCAGGACGTGCTGCAGATGCTGTTGCTGCTGCTGTTGGTGGGGATGCTGCTGCTGCTGCGGCTGGAGGGCGTGGGTGGGCGGGGTCACTGCCGTCACCTTGTCTAGGCCACGTTTATTATCCGCATACATGTCGTCGATCGCACGTTTGCAAATATTTGTTACCAATTCTAAAAGCAGAAATGACAAGACGTTTTCAGCACTGTGTCTCGGATTGTCACGGTTATTTGGCCAAAAACTTAGGCGAATCACAATGGGAAATAATGATAATATCAATCAATATGTAGATCTTAATGAAAGTCTGCAGACTCTGCCTTTTCGATTTGCTAATGAAATGGAACAACAATTGTTGATTAGGTTTGTATTTTTCATACGTTGAAAATAGTTCAAGATATTGTTTGAATTGTCTGCGGCACAAAAAGCACATTTTGAAGGAACTGATTTGTATTGTTATTGCCCAGTCGAACAATTGCTCGCTGTGCCCTGTGTATCCCCAATGCCCTCCAATGAGTTGGCGCTTTTGACGTATTTTTTATTTGGGCACTTCGATTGCATAAGGAGTTGAAAATGATTTATAGCATTTGCTTGGCGTTTCGCTCTCCGATGGCGGATAAGTAACTAGGGGTTAATGAAATGTCTTACAACACAAATACTAAACACTCGATGGGCTAGGATCTGTGTTGATCACATTTGAAACTCGTTAAGTCTTAAATAATGATCAATCAATTTAAGATTTGGCTTTCTAAGAAGCGACCGAGGCTTGTAAATGTTTTCATGAAAAGGGAAATCCGAATGTCTTTGTGGAAACAAATTTGTGTCAGTCTCAATTCACTGAATACTTCATTGCAATAATCAAGGTAAACTTTTCATATCGAACAAATTAATAAATACATTGGCGTCGAAAATTTTCTATTCCATATATTACTTTTTCATGTTTTATATGTAAGCCCAATACTCTTATTTGACTTCTAATATATTGAGATGGCTTTAAACAGCAAATCCTTTAATTTTTTAAAAACAGCTTAGTGCTGTGACCTACATATTTTAACAAATATTTGTGGTTCCAACTGGTGCCACTTTTCCTGGCCAAATATTATCTGGCTAAAACCGAATCATGGCACTATCACTTTTCTTACAACTCAAAGCCAACTCGGACCATTTCCAGGGCACTTGTGATGGCGCCAAGAAAAATCTTAAAAATCTCTTCTGGGTTCTGCTGGCCCCCGGCCGAAAAGTGCAACAATTGAAATTAGTTTTGTTGAGTGAATTTCAAATTTCCATCTCGAGTATTCACTACCGTCTGCGGGCCGGCGTCTTGGCCTGGCTTTTTGGGCCTTTGCTGCAACTCATTGTCAAGTGAACTTATCACCGAGAAGGGAAACAAGCAGAAACGACGGAGATAAAAAATTTGTTCGAGTTGACGTTTGGAGTGTCATCGAGTCGATGCTTGAATTTGTTTGGAGTTGTTTGAATAGGGACCACCAAAAGTCATTGAATGAAATGAAGAACTCCACAGATATATCTCATTGTGCGCGACTTTGACTGTGTGCATTTGATTTTTTGGGGTAACGGCTTTGCTCTGCTCGCTTTTTAAGTATTTTGTTGTTATTGATTTCTATCAAAGTTAATAATGAAATTGGTAAATTACAATTTGGGTGCGGGTGGGGGGTTTGGGCATGGACCTTGATCTCAACTTACCTCTCTGCTCGAAAGATTCAATTTGCGATATCCATTTGGTTATAGAGCTAGCTCCAATAGCATTTGGCATAAATGATTATTTAATAATTCACTGCGATCCGCCACAATGTTTGACACTTTATCAATAACTTGTATTTATTTTATTTAGGTATGTGTAAGACTATTTACTTATATTATTATGGGGCTATGTGGGGTTTCTATTGCACACTATTTGTTGTGATTATTGCCTAATCTTTGCATTGGCCTTTACATACATAGCTATTTCATAGAATCATTGCATATTCATCACTTTGATTAAATCAAGATTTATGGGGTTTCTTTTCGAGAAAATACTCGGCTATAATTTGCAAATCAAATGGACCGAATGACGCACAACATATCGCGTTAAGTAACAACTTAAGGCCCGACGATAGCAGAGCCAATTGGCGAACACAATTTAATAAAATACCGACGGCTTTATGGCTCAGCACCTCTGGGTCTCTGGGGCTCAAGCGAATCCGTTCCGTTTCCGATCGTATAAATCCACAAAATCACAAAATCACACAAGAACCTCGGATCGAGGGCCACACAACCGTGTTGAATGCGCGCGTGCACCTTTCTGTGCGGATCACCGGAGCGACACAGAAGCGGCAAACTTGATTTCGAAACAGGTAAGGTGGCTTTCGTTCAGTTTCAGCCAGTCCGCCGATCTGGCCAACATCCCAAGCCGGGCTCTGCATGTCCCTGTTTGGCAGTGCTCGTGTGTTGGTGCCCAGCGGAGTGCTCGCCCAATGAGATTGCTGATCATGCACTGCTAGAATAGGTGTGTACGATTTCATTTCATCAGGTTCATAAGTTTAATATGTTAGATACGTCGAATTTTAGCTAAAATATTATAAATTTGATGTATTTTTGTTATATTATATAAACATTTTAAATAATAATTTTTATTTTTTGTAATGTAATGTAATGTCTAGTATATGTTTGCTAAATAACATTACTTAAAATCTATTTTCAAGGGTTGATATCAAAAAGGGTTGAAAAAAGGTTGAAATCACTACCCGGTGGGATTAAACAATTTATGTTTTATGAATGCCTCCAATTTTGGTCAGTGTACTGCGCCTCACCATGCTCCGCTACTCACAAACAAGTTAACGCACACTCTCAACGATTTGGCCAACTGACCAATACAAGCAGCGAAGCGATCATTTTGTAGACGCCTCTTTCAACACCAACAACAGGTATACAATCAAACACCCAGCGGGGCGCTCTTGCCGGTTTTCGTTGCCCACTCAGCTGTAAATCTATTCAAATTAGCCATAAATCAATTAAGGCCGATAAATACTATAATAAACCAAACCAAACTTGACTCGCATGGGGGAAATACAGATAAAATCTGTGAACACTTTACATAATTTCTAGTTAAGTCGGAGGCTTAGTCAGCTTGGGCTACATTTTAAGCGAACTTTAAGATGTGCTGGCAACTCTGCTCATTTATTTGGCTAACACATACTTGAGTTCGTGAGTGTGTGTTGAGGTGCTCGTTGATTGGTTGCCTGTGGCTATGCTTGTTTAAAAACTATTTACAATTTTTTTCCTCTTTCGCTTTGCTTTGGCTTGACTTTCGTAGTTTCTGGTCAACACAAAAGGCGGCTTAAACTGTGCGAGCCAATCGCAATCAGATTTTACCCGATTTTTCTTGGTTTCTCATTTCTTACGCGCGTGTGTGTGGGTGCAACTTAGTTGTAGTCTTTCCCGCTTAATTGCATTCGACTAGCTAAACGACTTTGATCTGGGCTTCCAATGTGAAAATTTAGATTGATTATAATGGTGGAAAATGTAGAACGTCTTAATCACGATTGGTGAAAGATATTGATAAGTTTATCTTGCTATTAGTTTCTATATACTCGTATACTATTATCTATTAGGTAGTTTCTCGTCCAGAACATTGAAATGAATAATTCAAATACGAAAAGTTTTAAAATCATTTAATTTGTTACTTTGTTTGTCTTTTCTTGAAATGTCTGGCCTAAATAGTCAAATAAATCACGACTTTCGAAATCATTGGCAGACGTACTTAACATCAAATTGCTGTCAATGACTTGGGAACAGGACTCGTGTCTTTCTTTTTTGCTTTTCTTACCTGGTGGCTAAGAATTTAAGCTATGGAACTTGTAGGGAAATTACCATTTAACCAATCGAAGCATAAACAAGTCGTGCGTTATATGCAGTGAATATTCGATTAGCCAAAATTGTCAGTCCAATCGATTTGTGGAGGTGTAAGGCAGCAAGAGTCCAACAATTGAATACAAATTATTATATTAATTGCCAGCACTGCTGAATTGGGAACAGTTTATTGATAATTTTGCATAATTTATTGCCTTAATTTGTCCATTACTTTTAATGGCTGATATTTGAATATGTGCTTCGGTGCAAAATTCAAAACGTAAGTAATTGCACTGCCTGCAGGTATTTTTCCCAAGGAAAGTAAATATTGGGAAGTAAAATGATTTTGTATAATCCATAGAGATTTACAGAAAGCCAAACTTACCAGCTGTGATGAGTCATTGGGTAGACATATATCAACTCGTAGTTAAGGCATTCGGCTTGCTCTTTGAACTCTTGGCGGTCGCGTGGCTCAGGAACGAGTCATTCAGTTGCACTTTTGGTGACTCAAACACGTCGGGACTATCGGAAGACGGCTTGAATATTAACTAGGGGAAAAGGTAACAGAATGTTCTATCCCGCATCGAAATGTTTTGGGTCAAATACTCGACATGGCGGAAGTCAGTCAGTCAGGCACGCGCTGCATTCGAGACTTTGGATTCAATCGATCGGCAAAAGATCTGACCAAATAATTGCTGTAAGTACCGGCACCCCTTCCCTAGAACAACTTAAAAAAATATGTACAATTTATTCCATCATTAGATAAGTAAATGGTGAAGTAAAATGCTCAATCATTTCATCAAATTCCTTATGTATCTAATGTGTATCGCTGACAATCAAATTTTAAATCTGAAAATATAGTATATTCCTTTTAAAGAGATACATCTCATATAGATAGATAATTAAAGCATTTTCTTCCCGTGCTGGACTGTTGCTCCACTTTGCTCGTATCCCATTAGAGCCTTCCTTTGTTTTTCCTTATTATTGTGGCCCAGAGCAGTCCCACGCCTATAAAACGTAACCAAGACCCCAGCACGAGTCAAATGTCGTATTTCATTAGACTCAAGTCATGTTAACGCAGCGGTGTCTTGGGTCCTCAATATCCCCCACAGCCGATTCGGATTTCGAAACCAATATCCCAATAGAATTGTAAACACATCGGGCCAATGATCGCCCCCACAAGGAAATAAAAACAAAGGAGCGCAAAGCCGGGAAATTCAGAATTGAATTACATGAAAATGCTCGATGCGTTTGCGGAAAGGAAATCGTACAAACTGGTCATGAAAAATGCATCACTTGACCAGGGCGCAGACCATAAAACGTTTTGCAGCCGCCAGACGACGGCGACGACAACTTGGCCAGAACTTGGCCACAACCTGGCTTATGAACTGCCTTCCTGTGTCTTCGCCCAGGAGACTGATCCTGTTCCCGGCCTGGTGATGAAAATGTACGACTTTCGCTCGAGGCGCTAAGTGAGCTTACAGAAAATATTTCACTTTTTATGGCAATGCGGACGGGTAAGGGTATAGTAAGCTATTCGAGCTGGCTGTTGGCTTATGAAACCGAATTGCTTATAACAATTATTGTATTGCTCTTCATTGCACAAACGGCTATTTCAAAATATGAGTAAAACGGGAGAGTACATTTAATACATGTGGTAAGTTAATGAACAAGAAGCTTGTCGTATATTTTTATTGAATGTTTTCATGGTTCAAAGTTTAAGATTGCGAAATTCCATAGGTACTTAAATGCTAATGATTTGTAGAGATCGTGGAGGAAATATTTTTAATTTCTGGAATAAGCATGCCATCCTATCTGAAATCAAACATTTTGGTTGTCAAATAAAGTAAATGCAAGGAAAGGGCATGCAGGGATTCGCTGAACACCTAGTATCTCATTCCTCTTATTTAGTTACAGTTCCACACACACCCAAAGAGAGCGAGAACAAGATACCCGGGCAGACGCCCCGGGGTCGCCTGGATCTTGGGACTTGGCCAAGACAATCTTCAGATCCTCAATCCTCGGAGGCCGGCTTTCAACGATGACGACGACGACGACGACGAAGACGATGGTGGTGACGACGACCAGCCGTCTAGGTGGTGCTCTTGCCATGGTGGCTTGGTGGCTCGGTGGTGCGGTGGTGCCGACCCCGGCCCACTCTGAAATCAATCGATTCGACATTATTATTAATTTTTCATAACTTCTGCGGCGGCCAGCGCCTGGCGGCCCTCTGTGTGCATTATGGCGCCCTGAAACCCCAGCTCCACGGCCATGTGAAACTAATCTATTTGTGCGGCAAAAAGGGCCGCCTGCCTAGTCGAACGGCGATCGCGGGTATCACCCCCATTCCCCAGCACTGAAAACTCCATTCGCACACACATTTTAAATTCATCACTTGTTTATAAGACAATTTATTACCAGTTAAATATGTGCTTAAATAAAGGTACACAAAACATGATGTATTTAAACGAATGAAACCTATTTATTAAATTTGAACCTTTTTGCAAAATCTTTTCCTTTAGTCAAAGCCAAAATTGAAAACTTCTTTCAGTGCATTGGAGGCTGGCGAACGGACAGCTAAGCGTGTTATCTGCTATCGCTGCGCTTTGATCTTTCACCGCTTCTGCTTTGCATAATAAATTCGCTATCGATGAAAACTAACTTGCAGCCCGATGCGCAGGGCCGGGATTTCCCTGCAATTTGTTTGCCTTTTGGCCATCGGCCGTTTAATTCGATTGCCAGCGCGATTTCGGCTTCGCCCTAACCATTTTATTACAATAGCATAATTTTTTACTATGCTTAATGAGTTCTGCTTTGATTAGTTTTTCACATTGCTGTTGTCTGGGATCTGCTTCCCTGGGATGCCCCACCTTTTCTGATCCCGCCCTCCTTCGATCATCGCTGGCGGCGAAATTGATGTTTGTTGGGTGTTCAGACGCGGTTGGATACTCGGATTTTCACCAGGGCGATGAGGCAGTTTAATGACTTCAGCTGGTCTCAGATTTCATGTTGTTAGCATTACTTATTGAAATGTTTTAATTTAGCAATTGACTTTTATACGGGCCGGCGGCGACGACAATCATGTGGTTATACTGCTCTGGTAATTAGAATTTAACAAGGTTTTCATTTCATTTCAAAATTATCTGCTTGAATTTGTAATAAACAGATACTGTCAGTATACAGTTCAAGTTATTTTGTATTATATATATTTATCATTTGTAGAAATGTTTTAACCTTATGTAAATAAAATTTGACCTGAATAACATTGCCATATTGATAAATATGGTTCCTTCTATTGTGAATAAGACATTCCTCGAAACTATTTTAAACTTCCCGCGCAAGACTGCTTGCAAGCAGAGGCAGTAGTGTTCGCCTATAAAGCTTTCTGGTTCCAAGCTTTTGTCGAAACTTGTGTATAAGCAGTTTGCTACCAAATGTTCAAATAAAACTGCCTTCGAACTGCTTGTGCCCGCGAATTTTAAATGGAGAATAAATTCAAATTATATGTATTCAATAGTTTTATGGTTTCCTTTTTCTA